TACCTTGAGCTTAGCAGCAGACATGATTTAGAACATTCTAATTTCTGCCCCATGTTGGGCCCAGCAGTTTTTACGAACAATTTTGTGTTCAGCTAACTTATGGGGAATACGGTAACCTCATGAACAGACAGATTATTTTGTGGCAGCCTAGTCTCGATAATGGCTCGAATTTGTTTTTAAGACTACCTTTACCTCCAATGAGTAGAACTCTTTTTAACAGAAGCAATCACATAATAGCCCTAATTTTGCGAAACTATTATGAAGTCACGGTGAATCTCGAATCGTGTGATGGATGCATCGATGATCAGTTTGCTATCTGACAGCATGAAAAGCTAGTTTTAAGCAATTTCCTGGTTTCGATTAGCCCAATTTTCCTCTAAAAGTAGACATAACCAAAGAAACTTTAAATATTCCTACCCTAGACTTTCGTAAACCATTCTGGAGAAAAGGCATGATGGCACATCTGTTGGGCTCATCATCTCAACCGGACAAACTTACGGTATTTCGCAATCCCAGTTATGGCTTTGCTTGGGTCATAAAGACCTCGAACTTGTACTACACTCTTTTCCATTTACTCCGAGTTATGACCAGTCGTCTCCTAACCCACTACATGTGTGAACACGTACAGACGCAGGCACATACATATACACGCACACAAATACATATATACATAAAATTCGAATTACATGAAAAGGAACTAATCAAATAATCCCATGTCTACCAGCTCTTTTGTATTGTAATTGTGAGTACGGTAACTCAAGGCTGGGTTAAAGCTGTTATAAGGATGATATCATGCTTGTTATAATATAAACAAAAACTCAACTCGTTTACACTGCAACAAAAGGAAGATGTCTAGTGGACCTTGTCAGCCTGAATGTCTCAGTAAAACTAAATGACTGTAGAGAAACAGGAGCTCGGTCTATAAATTCCTGCATTAGGCACCTTCAAAGACGAAATGAATGTTTCCCAGTTGCATTTAACACAACAATTGAGTTATGACCGTTTTTAGAGGATATCACTTTGGCCTTTGGCTCGTGGTCGTCCTATCTCCTTTCTGGCCAGTTTAGAGCAATATAGCCCTCTACTTTCTAGTTTACGTCCAGATCTACGTGTGTCTCTGTGTGTCTGTGTGTCTGTGTGAATGTGTGAATGTGTGAATGTACGTATAGAGCTAGCCCGAGATTACCAGCACACCTGCCTTGGAATGTGGGCCAGAACTTGTTAGCCCAGCCATGGAGAACTCGTCATTAAACTTGACCTTAATCCGGGTTTTTCAAGATGTCCATGTGAAGTGGTCCATTCTTGGCCGTTCACCTTTGTCAGGCCGAATACGTTTCGGCCAAATGTTGGCACTTCACCTGCCATGTTTACCCAAAGGATTAGGATTTATAAGGATGCAAAATGCCCAAAGTGGATATCACTTTAAGTAAGCTATTACCGCCGAGTCGCTGCACAATATACTCGTGTTGCTGTGCCCCTGTTGAGTGGGCAGCTTTGCTACTGCCTCATGTGAATTGTACCCTAGAAGAGACTTGCAGACGTGAAGACCCTTTCAGGGGGCGTCGAACTAGAGACTGAGCTGACCGAGGTTGTACTTCACCAGACTGTCACAATTCAATTTCCCCCAAAGCAGCCCGGATATTTTGCCGGAAGTTTGCTATGCTCCCTTCCATGTGTGTGTGTGTGTGTGATGAGGAAATTCGAAGGTGGATCTCACCAGAAGACGACAATGGATTTCCCGTAGCCAGTTTTCGGTTGGTTTTAGTGGACCATTTTGGTTGGTGTCGTTTACGAAGTGATCTCTTTTGATTTAGGTTAAAATGTGCTAAAAATTTCGTCTCTCATATGGCGGACATCCTCAGAGCAGGATATAACCATATTCAAGTTAACGACTGAAGAAAACTCACCTAAATGCTGAATCTATGCTTTTTGATGAGGTATAAAGTGATCTGGTTGGTTAAAGTCCCATGTCAGTCTACAAGCGTGTGTGTGTGTCTGTTTGTGTGTACTTTTGTGTCTTCATGTGTGCGTGTATGTAGGAAACTAGCGCGATTAGCTCAAAGTAATTATAAAAGAGCATAAAGACTCTGTCCTCGGTCATCAAGGTTTAATGGCCTACACCACCACCTTTTCTTATATTTCAACCATTATTCCGATTTGGTAGTGTCTGACACCTGTCTGGTTAAGTTGGTAAACTTTTGTCTGTGTGAGAGAGAAAGCTTGATGTAATTTGTAGAGAAAGTGTGGATAAGAAATTTGGTCACTTTAGGTAACTGACGCGGATGCGGCACTGTGGGTTTCATATCCCGTTGTGGCACTGACGCGACCCAGATGAGCTCGGAACTGAATTCCAGTCTGGAGGATAAAGCCATTTGGAAAGTCAGACTGAGTGAAACATGATGACATCGTTAAAGCCCCGCTTATTTTTTGTGCTAAACTCAATCCTCAGTACCACATCACCTTAGACAACTGTAATCAAAACCTAGACTTAGTGTGTAATAATGTGGTCATTATTAATGGCGATTATATGCTGGCCTAATCCACAAGAGTATTACTTGTTGGGGAGACGTTCAGTACGCATGAAAGTGAATGATGAAGAGATTCGTTGGAAAGAGTTCCAGCTCTGATGATAGTTTAACCCAGTTTCATCTGAAACTAGGGAAGATGTCTTATGTACTGCGTCAACCTGAACGTCGTCTTATGGTGAGCTCAACCAACGAAACCCCTCATCATGCATTTGCATATGAAATTAAAGTCTCCATAAAACTGTTATCTCAATTGATTCATCCTTAAGAGTACTACTCTAAAGAATGTGAATTGTGCGACATATAAATCGCTTTTAAGGTTACCTCTACCCTCTGATGTATTATAAATCGTGGTGATGTTGCCTGGGGTTTTCAGCTTGGCTCGCCAGATTTGGTTTCCAACCCCGTTAGGAATGTTGCTAGGAGAAGACCGCCTTGTGAGTGACACTAAACGGCCTCGTGAAGCCTGATAATCCTCTATGATTTATACATCATCGGAAGTAAACAAAGATATTATTTACTGCCTACTGTAATCTCGAAAGCCTACTCAATACAAGTGCAAGTAGGGCCGCCGACAGTGACAGCGCTGCGTAGCGGTAGGATGTAGGAAATATACGCGGAACCACCCGGGTTCGAATCCCGTTGACCCAGGGGGGGGTCTAGAGAATGATTATTTATTGTTAGGGCAAGGTTAACTTATCTTCTATGTCATAGTGAGGCCTACTCAACTCATTTTGGGAAGACTCAACCACCATAAAAACTGGATTTAGAAGAGTTGCTCAATGAATTATTGTGGCATGACTTTCCATTTCGAAGGAAGAGTTAGTTGAAGGGAATTTGTGAAATGGTCTCATCGGAATCCGAAGCATCAGATTGGAAAATCACACTTTACGAAAAAAAAATGCCAAATACAATGAGCCAAGACAAGGGGGGTCATTCCGAACAAGCATAATCGTTGGGGTCGCAAAGTTAGGTTTAGAACGAATGATGGCAGTTGCTCGGGTCCATTTGATGCGATTTTCGTAAAGACTGGTCTCTGGTGTTGATGATGTCTGCCACGGAGGTACATATTCATCGTGGTTGCAGGGCTTGTCGGCACAAATCAACAGTCTTCACTGCACAATACTCAATCCTTCTTCGGTGTCTGGTGAGACCATTGCACGAATTCATTCCAACTAACTTTTCCTTCGAAGTGGAAAGTCATGTCATGACCAAATTCTTAAACAACCATTATTGATAGTCTCGCAAACTGGTTATTTCTAGAACGACTAACGTTCTTATTAGCGTCTTTTCCTTTGACATCTTCTGATAGTTTCAAAGCACATATTTTACCACTTTTTCTATCCTTTTTCCGACTTGGCAGCCCGATTTTCAGAGTGTGCCGCCTGAGTTACGAAGGTTAACTGGGATGTTTTTGGTATCGCCAAACTCAGAATGAGCACCAATTAGAAGCCGGGTTACTTCAGGCGGCATAAGGTGATGCAAGGCATCACAGTTGAGCTTTCAACATTCACGTGAATGCAACGACACACACACAATACTAGTGAAAATCGCATAGCTCCTCCATTCGAAAGCTTCGTCCTTCCGGTTGAATTGAAGTTTCCACTTCCATCATCCCCTCGACGGGATCAACAAACGGCTGGTGTTCACTTCATTGTGCAGCATCGTCTGTTGACAGGTGCACATTTTATGCCAAACCAGACCCTTTCCAATTCATTTGGGTACATATTCAAGAGATTTTGACAGTTTCCGTGGCCTTGAGAAGGTTGCCATGGAGAGTTTGTCTGATCATTTAAGCTCTAATAAAATGGGAGTCATTGAAGTCCTCTGCGATTTCTCGTCCAAAGTGCAGTAATGGGTGAGGATGCAAAGTCTCGTCAGCAGCCTCAGAGGCTTCGGAAAAGTGATGTAGACTCGACGTGAATACCATTTTGTTTAAGGTAATACAGCAAAGTGAGGTGAAATGTAATGGAAATATGGGACCTACTCATCAGCTTAACGAAATAAGGTGAATATATTTCATATACAAAATGAATTGGCGATCTCGAAAAGCTGCTTCTAAATGAAAAAAAAAACTAGCGAATTACTCTCTACTACTGCCATCGGACTTTGAGTAGGCCGGACGCTTCAACGGCCTCGGCCGGCCTCACACTTACCCCATTCGGTCGTCAAAGTGGACGTGTGCATGTGCACATCGTGTGTGTCCCCGTTGTATGCATGATATGTGTTGTTGGCAGGTCGGAGAAGAGTCGGTATGGCTTGACTATTCGCGGGAGATCTGTGAAATGTTGGTCATTCGATGGCCCGGTTGTCCGACAGAAAAAGCTCCGCAGCGGACCGGCCTGAGTAGTGACTCGGGTGTGGAACATGGAGGACAGTTTCTGCTGCCTCATGGTGATTCATGTTGGTGCATGTGTGCACTTTTGACCCCAAAACACGACTCGTCCACACATTCTGACAATACGCCCACAGACGATGGAGCCGACCGCGTGGTGGTGCTACGCTCTGGACGCATTCAGCTCTGCGGTCGGCCAGACAATCTTCTTTAGAACTCATTTTTCTCGTGTCGTCGGCCGGAGACTCGCCGAGTGTGCACTCATCGCCTCACTGCCCCCGGCCCCAACTCCCTGCTCCGTGCTCCTCAGCCCGTCCGGCGCTGGTCACTGTCCTGATTTGCCCATTCCGGCCAAGACCCGTCAGCCCAAGCGGCTCCCACACCGGCCGTGCTCGCTTCACACTCCTTCCCTGTCCCTCCACGGGCTGTCTCCTGTTCATGCTTGAACACGTGAATGACCGTTTCGACGACCGACGTCCGATCGGCCAAAAGGACGCCACGCCTGTACCAGACAGGATGTGGGGAACCCTTTCACGTCTGGTATGGGCGCATTTCTGAGTTGCACAAATACGGAATGAACGGTCTCATCTCAACCATCCACACATATGAATATCCATGCGCCTAGGCCTAAACAATTTCGCATACACACGTGCACACATACATACACAAACCTATAAATACGGAGATGTATACACACATACTCATATATACAGAAATCTGTATTCATACACATACATGCATACCTATACACATATATATGTGTGTAAGTATGTATGTATGTGCATGCATACATACATGTAGGAATATAAGAGGAGACCAAGAATGAACCCCACCAAGTTATCTCGAAAGCCTCATCAAGTCAATTTGGGCGACACTTTTTGCGCCAAATGGCAGGAGAGGGGTGAACACTGCTCCAGAGGTCAAACCGACCGGATACTGGGGTCAGACCGGCCATAGGGTCAAACGAC